ACTTTGTAGATTATAGTTCTTTTCACGCTGCATCTTGTGGTATATTTTGTTTTTTTAAAACAACGCATTAAGTGATGCGAAAATGAAATAGAAAAAGGCCATTTTTTTTGTCCGCGAGAGACTATTGACTCATCCTTACCTAAATACGAAGATAGTTTTATGCGCGAAATACCTAATTTCAGGAAATAAAATAGACACAATAAAATGTATACGTAGTTTTTCGGAAAAAAAACATGTTTGCGTTTATTTCTATCCGGCCATTAACTGGTAATTGTTAATGCAATAACTGTCTACAGATATATGTCGAAAATAGTATATATTCAGTTTGTGATCGGAAATATTTACATTCATTCTCATCATTAGACTACAAGGCTGAGTGATCTGTTAAAAATTTAAAATAACGTAAAAGTTTAATAAAAAAAAAACATTCAGTTCTTTTTTAAGATGGAACATCTAACACATCAAGGATAAAATACGTAAAATTTAATAAAGCAAGTGTAAGTTTTACACTATCATGTAAATGCAACATTTTCGTTGCTAACGAAAGCCATGTCCAACAAAATTTTGTCTATACTGATTCTTTCTACTTGTTTGAATTTTCATTGGTTGAAACTATGACGAATTAAGCAATATCATAGTTCATCGTAACGCGTCGTATTCGTCTTAATTTCTCATCGATATTGCCAATCAACAATTGTGTAGATACTTCAAGGAAGTCTAATCGAATGAGTTTATATTTGTATCATTATTACTGTAAGATGTATATTCAGAACACAGATTTTTAACTTTATTGTGGGAAATAACTGCGAGACAATGAATAAACAAAACTCATCGTTTATATTTCTTATCCAAAGAAAATCAGACTTTTGTTAGATGAACATCTATCGATTGATAATTCTATCGTCATCAATGTTTAATCTAGTTGAAGAATAAAGTATTCTTTTAATTATTGATTAATAAAAATTAATAATAACTATTTGATGATGCAAAAACTAATTTTCTAATGATCAAATTTATTATTTTACAATTTCATATACTCAAATAATTATTTTTTTTTCACATTTAAATTTGTTTCACCCCAATAAACATACCTAATTATACATATATATGAAAATTGTAAAATTTATGAGTATGAAACGGCATATGAAAACTTTCTGTATATTTTACATTTTTCAAAAAGAAAGAAAAGAACAAAATTTTTAATCTATCGTTTTACTTTTCGAAATCTTATAACTTTAATGATGACATTAAATAATACCATACTTAGAGATTGTTTTTCTTTACCATTCTTTACTTCTTGAGTAGTAATTGCATAACTTGTCAGTCATAAAAAGATTACTCACAAGTTTTTATTTTCAAACGACACATTGAATGAAAATAGATTATGGTTACATTGCTTCTATGATAATCACCATGTTAATACGGTGTCATAGATAATACATTTTTGTTCTTTATATATATTTACACTTTCAGAGTATATAATTATTATCAAACATTTGTTTTTTGTAGAATAATTTATGCTGAGAAACACAACATTTATTGCAGATCAACAACGTATATTTAATATAACAAAAGAAAATAATAATTTTCAGTCACTGATCAATTTATTTCTCATTAAAAAAAACAAACATCAAAATTTTCCTTGCCTTGATCAGACTATTCGTCTATTAGATTTTGATTTTTATAATGATCTTCTTCCAACAATAGCTAAATGGGCATCCGATCACACACAAGCAAAATCAATTGAACCACTTCAAGCAGGCAAAACAGCAACGATTGTGTATACAGCAGCACAAGCACGTTATATTCTTGCCAATGCTTTTTTTCTTAACACAATACCAGGATATGGCAATATAGATTTAAATGAATTATATAATTCATTATCGAATGATTTAGCTATCGAAAGAATACGATGTTTAATTGAATATTTTCGTCTATCATCCCAACAAAATGATGATCGACTAATTTCAATTGAACGATATTCATATGATCATGAATTACCAGATTGGAGTAAACAAAATATTCTAATCGAATCATCAAAAATAAATTTAATTACTAATCGAATGGAAGATGATAATGAAGCACAAGGCTTTGTTGATTTTGCTAATAAACATATTCATATACATAGTATTATTCCATCGGCTACGCAAGAAGAAGTTTTGTGTAAATAAATTTTAGTTTAATTAATTAAGATTTCTTTTTTTTTATCGCTTTTCTTTTTAGTTAGTTGTTGTCCAGAAGCATTTTTATCTATTCTTGTATGTGACACATTACAAGATAATGAAATTGTTATTCTTCGTGGATGTAAACGATTCATTGATTATACTGGTTATGCTGATACATTTTGTTACAAAGGTCATTATCATGAACAAAATCCAACATATATTCAAGATATTCTTGTTTTGGATGCTTGTTACAGTAGTCACTTTACAAGAAATAATATTGATCGAGATTTAGGCAAAGCATGGGCAGCATTTGAGAAATCAAAAGATGAGATTATTGTTACAGGAAAATGGGGATGTGGTGTATTTGGTGGAGATTTAACATTTAAATTCTTACAACAAATATGTGCAGCTATGCTACTTGGAAATCATTTTAAAAGATTAGATTATTCTGTTCGTAGTAAAGAGAATTTAGCATCAAAACTTAAACATATAGTGGAAAAATTGGAACAAGATAAAATAACAGTCGCCGATGTTTATCATATGATGATTAAATATAGTAAAACTGAGAAAACAGCTGGATCACTACCAGAATTTAGTGACTATTGTGAGAAATGGCTAAATTCCTGATCATGTTGATTACATATTTCTTCTATTTGTTATTTTTCGCTAATCACAATGTAATTTAGAAGCTTGCTAAATGAATGATCGATATGATTAGTTATTGAATTAATCTTGAAATTTAAGAATAAATATTTGATATATCAATAAAACGATACTACAACCATCTCGATAATAGTATGAAAACGAATAGTTTCTTGAGTGAGCCATAATATCTTGTATATTGTAGTATTCTATAATTCTTTCAATCATACAAATATGCAAGTTTGAAACTTATGTAATATATTCTAATGAGGGTATGGGTGTGAATATTGAACTTTTTTCACCCACACTCGCACCCAAGTTGCACATTCATTCAGTATATAATTGCTAAGAAATAGTAAAACCAATGAAGTTTTGATTTCTTACGCTTAGTAAATAATATTTTGCTGTTGTTTTCAATAATGTATATATTTTTTTATTAAGATTACACAGTATTCCTGTATAAAGAATCATCGACAGTTTTTTCATACATTTTGCAACTTCAAAGTCTAGTTTTACTTTCGAGCTACCGTGTAAATCAAGGGTGTGGGTTTTTCTTAAGCATCGCAACTGTACCTCACATCCATTGGTACGAGGTATAAGGGGACGAAGTATAGAGTTTCTTCAATTTGTCCTTTATTTACTCACCTGCGAAAAAAGAAAATGCCAAATCATTTCAACAATGTAAAATGTCATTGTAGAATTCGGCTCATTATCAAAAGAGATACCTTTTAATAATACTCTTGTGTATTTTGTTGATTGCAGCTACTTAATGAATTCTATATAGCTACTTAATGAATTTCTGTAGCTACTTAATGATTTCCTATAGCTACTAAATGAATACTCATGAAGTAGCTGTTAGATTTTTTTCAAAAGTGTCTCTTTTGAGAAGCTACGGTATGAAATGAAGGTATCATACGAATAACTAACTACTCTGATGTCGGTCTATCAAGATCGGGTCCCTTTAGTGAATAAAATTTTCAAGAGAGAGTTCACCAAAAGATCACTCTACCTTAGTTATTGGTCACCGGAGGAATTTTTTTCTTCGATTTTGTTATCTAAGATGAAAAATCATTGGTCTATTTTAGTCCCTAAAAATTGTCATAATGAGGATGTGTTCGGTATTTTGACATTATCTCAAGGACAGCTTGATCGTTTATGTTCGGAGACATCTCATTTACTAGAAAACAGTACAGAATACAAACTCATTCTATTTGAGCAACTAGTATTTACAGTAAAGAAAACACGATAGGTCAAAAGACATTTAAAACTCGACAAAATCCATGATTTCGTGATCGCGGTATTTTGGATTTTTCTTGAGTCATTGAACAAGTCCTGCAGTTATTTTTCAATCACAGTTAGATCTCGTCAAGATGAATTTTTTGACATTATATTATCGAAGGCAAGAAACTGGCATGCCAAGCTTACATGAATAAGATTGTGACCTTTCCTACCTAGTCACCAACAAATTTACCTTTAGGAGTCATACTAATTATTTTAAAATTCCAAGAACTTATATCAGATCCTTGATCAGCACACGAAAGTACTTAGCTCTGTTAACTCATTTTAAAATTATCTTCTACTTGCATTCACTGTGATCAAGATGATGAGTACACCTAATGCAAGCCTATAGAGGATAGGCATTAGTGTTTTGATAATTCTGGTTGAAAAGGAAAACTAGGATTGCTTCCATCACTCAAGAAAAGTTTAAAATATGGCGATCCCGAAAGAACGAATTTTGCCAAGTTTTAAACAGTTTTTGATCTATGTGTTTTTTCTTTACCGTAAATAGCACTGTTCTCTAGCAAATGAGATGTCTCCGAACTTGAACGATCAAGCCCTTCTTGAGATAGTGTTTTTTGGCAGGTAAATCCAATGACGTAATATTTTGGACTTCACAATGGCTTGACTAGATCTTTCATTTGAGATAACAAAATCGAAGAAAATAAACTTCTCCAGCGACCAGTAACTAAGGAAGGATAGTATTCTAATGAACTCTCTCATAAAAATTTTATTCACTAAAGGGACCAAATCTTGATAAACCAACATCAAAACAGTTACTTACTCGCAAGGTACTTTCATTTTATATTGTGTCGAGATCCAGGAAAAATTCATGATTTTCTACCAAATCCTTTCTATCTTCGCACAAGTATTAAAAACATGAAAGAAAAAATTGTAGTGATAACTTTTCTCTATCGGAAGTAGACCAGAGTCCAATTCAAACTTTGAGAAAAATAATGAATGAATGAGTTAACAAGTAGATTAAACAAACTGCCATAATTTTCTAGATGTAAAGAGAAAAATAGTCAAACATCTTTAAGAATATTTTACTTTTTTTATGAGTGTATAAAGACCATAAGTTATCGGATTCAAGATTATGCATTTTAATAAATCTCAAGTGACAAGCCCGTTTAAATGCCTGAAAAGAATTCGTTAAAATGACGTATTAACGAAATTTTAACGCGCTCTTCTAGAAATCTTATCAGACTGAGCTTAGATCGTTTTGTTTCCTTTGACCATTACGCGCAAGAAACAAGCGAAATGTGGGAATACTCTTACACAGGTTTAGTAGGTGTAAGTGAAGAGATGATGAATGTGCACACCTACATATGTGTATTTTTATACGACCGAATATTGGTGAAATTTATTGTCAATGAACTCTATATGCTTGCTAGGCACAACTCAAATATTTTAAATTTCATATTGTCATTATTGGTTTATATACGCAAGAACTGTTTTTCGTCACATACTACTGGGGCATTTTAAGCATTCTTGACAATAATCGTTGAAATGCCAACACTGTTTGGTGAACGATAGATTGCACTGATTTGAAGTTCTTTCTTGTTTTGCTGATTGCCGTCATGGGTGTGACTTGTGTGTTGAGTGAAGAGAAGAACTACATCCACACCCACCCAAGGAGACTCTTAAGCAAATCTTACCGCTGATTTGGCCTATCAGTCAACATTACAATTCGGTGCCAGTATTTTTACGGTTGTGGTAGATATTGAGGGCTATATCACATTTCAATCAGTATGACTTTATCCACCATTTGTTGCTCTTTCGACTTCAATTTTTGATTGAAATACCCAAAATATTGCTTCAGTTCATCTTTCTTTCCTAGTCCATGGATGTCTTTCGTCTCATTTTATTCAATATCACACTATGTATGATATTTGAAACACAAAAACCTCTCCCACGTTTGGTCTTATTAGCGATCTTGCCAAGTTTTTTACCAATTTTGATTTGTCATTGTCAACAAGGTCTTTTTTCGATCTTTGACCATATGAATTATCATCAGGTTGTATGTGCAAAGCGTATCTCAATATAGACATTCCACAAACGATATATTTCATCTTCACTCGACAATTTAATGGGATAACTGATAACAATAATGAATATTTATCAAACGCTGTTGTTTCTGATTTAGCCTATGTCCTTAACGTATTACCAACGCGACTCTACTAAAGCAGCACCTGCAGTGTTCAAAAAGGGCAGATGACATGTATGACGATCGTGTTTCTACTATCAGCTTTGGTCGATAATAATGGTCAAAGATCGAAAAAAGACCTTGTTGACAATGAC